GTTTTGGATCACTAGGGTAAACAAAAAAATTTTGGTATTCCCTACATATAAAGCATATTTTAATACCAAAGTAAAGCGAAGGTGGGAATTGTTTTATGGAATATTAAATAATTTTTTAAACTTTTCAAGCACTAGTATATCTGGTGCTATTTTGTCTTTGTTTTTGTTCTCACTTTTTTTTATCATTTTATTTTTCTTTCTTTTATTTTTGTTTAGGTTTTGTAGTATCTTCCTCTTTTTTTTTATTTATCCTTTATTAGTTTAGTTTTTTTAGCATACTTGTTGTTTTTAAGGCAAAGATTGCAGAATCCTATTGCTTGGATATTAAGAAGAGGAGAGTCTTAAGAAAATTAGCAGTCATGATGAACTATAGTGCTTAGGGGGCATCCATAAATAACGTTATGCTTGAGAGGAGGAGGGTGTCCCCAAAAATATAACGATTTTCTAATATTTAGAGGGGAGCACCCCAAAATATAATGTAATTTTTTTATAAAAATTTGGCTAAAATTTGATCCAGTGGTCCAAATTGGATGATTTTGATACCATTCGAATCGTCTCAAGGAGAGGAGTCGAATGGTACCAAAATTTTTTGATTTGGATCAGTGGATCATGGTTTAGTAACGAAATACTATTGGTTATTATGTTTTTTTATAAAATTACTATAAAATCAATAGTATTTCATTAATAAAACATTATTCAGTGGTCCAAATGAAATGATTTTGGTACTATTGGATTCGTCTCACAGAGACAAATCGAATGGTACCAAAATTATCTTGATTGAATAACTGGGTCATAATATATCCAAGTTTTTATAAAATTTTATATATAAACATATAGATTTTTAAAAAAATTTTATAGTCTAGAGGGGGTCAAAAGCTACTATATAGGGGTACATAATGTTATATATGGATGCCTCCTTATATAGAAGTGAATTTATATGAATTTTGGTATTCTACTCTTAGGACTTACTAACCCCAATATTTGAGCTAGTTTATTCTTAAAGTAAACCTAACAGAGTAGTACATGTCCTACACATGTATTTACCTGCATGTTTCTATAACTTCTTCCTAATTAGTATATATTAACTTGCTGTTTCATATGCATATCTCACACCACCTTTTGGGATGCTGCCATTTTATGGAAGTTTCTCAAGCATTAACCTTCTTAACTAGGTGTCTATTACATACTCACTGCCCTTATTTAGTTTATAACAACCTCGATATCCATATTAGGACCATCTTTTTACCTAGATTCTTTATTGGTTTCTTCTTTATTTTAGCCAGCAACCTAGAAGGGTTGGTCTACTCAGGCTTTAGGTACCTCACGATCATCATTCTCTTGGTTCATACTTTTGAAGCATATATTCTTTTTCTCTAGTGCGTCAGCCCGGTGGTTTGGTTAATGTGTTCCCTACTTAAGAACCTGATTGTTTGGTTTTCCAATCTCTGGCCCTAGTTCAAATTCAGCCTTCTTGTAATACCATCAAAGATCATTGCTATTTCCAAACTCGGGACTTGCCAAATAGGTTATTGATTATTTCAGTTTCTCAGATTTATTGCACTAAAGCTCCCATAACTAGATAGTGTAATTGAAAGTACAAATTTGATTCTAAATTTAACCGATAATCAATAATCATCAACCATGGCACAGGCTATTTTTTAAATATTGTCATCTGTAAGATTTGAACTCTAAACCTGCTACTTGAAGAGGATGACAACTAGACCACTATACTAAGTCACTTTACCTCTATACTGGATTAGTCTTTTATATTCTAATTCTTGTAATTTAGTAATAGCTTTTTGAATAAATACTTGTCCTAGCCAATCTGCTATTACTGATAAAATATTTTGATCTAAATATTTATATATTGATGATATTTTTGTTATCATTAAAAGTATAGCAATATAATTTGTTGTTGATTTTAACACAGGTCGAAATAAGACAAATCGAATTCAAATCGGCATTACAAAATTCTGATATAAACCCAATATGAAACAGATATTTGATACAAATAGAGCACCTATAGCAGTATTGTACATGAGACATGTCCACACTATGTAAAATGTCCAACGTTCAAGATTGTTCAAAATCGTCCAAGCCTATGTCTCATGTTTAACTAATCAATAAAGTAATATATAATTATATATTTTTTTAGGTGCTGGACTCATTGGTAAAAAAATTAAAATAGATTATCTTAATAAAATTTTGAGTAATTTTAATTTAAAAAAATGTCCAAAATTGTTCAAAATTGTCTCATGTACAACATTGCCTATAGGATACAATCCAGATTGATATCAGTATACAAGACATATTGGCAAAACAATAGCTCAATAGGTAAATCAATAAAGCTATAAGTTAAGCTCTATCAATTTACCTATTGAGCTATCATTTTGCTGATATGTCTTGTATGCTGATATCAATCTAGATTGTATCTTATAAGTACTTTATTTGCGCTAAATATCTGTTTCATATCGGGTTCATATTAGGATTTTGTAATGCCAATTTGAACCTGATTTGCCTTATTTTGACCTGTGTAAATTTTGTTTTACTATAACAACAATATAAACAGTTTCTATTAATCTTTCAGCTTTTTATTTAGCAATTGCATCAGCATATATATGAATTGTAAGAAGTTCTATATGATTAAATTGTTAAAAATTTTGAATAGTTTGATTAGACTATTAAAATTTTCAAGTATTATAACTTTTTTTTTTGGTATTAAGGTAATCTTTATTGGCTTGGGGAACTTTATATTAAAGTATAAACAAAGTTTTATAATATAATTACAATAATAGTACATCAAGCCACATATGCACTTTTGGTACCTAATTTAAATAGTCCACCTAAAGGTTTTATACTATCTGCCATATCTGCACCCCAACTAGGAGGTACTCATTTAAACTATCTGGTTCTAACTACCTCCATCTGCCCCTAACCTAATAAATTTTTTTACTAAACTAAGTAGATATTGATATTACCCAAACTAGATTTTGCACTCTGCCTTAGAACTTACTAACCTATATAGACCTAGTCTATTCTTGAAATAAACCTAACATAGTGGTACATGTTCTACACATGTATTCACATGCTTGTTTCTATAACTTCTTCCTAATTAGTACATATTAACCTGCTGTTTCATATTCGTATTTTATACCACTTTTTGAAATGCTGCTGTTTTATGAATATTCTTAAGCACCAATCTTTCTAATTAAGCACCCATTACATACTTCTTACTCTTGTTCTGGTTTTCAGCAACCCAAGTACTCATATTTAGACCATCTTCTTACCCGAATTCTTTATCAGTCTCTCTCTTACTTCTAGCTGACAACTTGGAAAAGTTGGTTTGCCTAGGCTTTAGATATCTGAAGAACACTCTCCTCTTGGTCCATACTTTCAGAGCATATATCCTTTTCCTTCGATGCAACAACCTGGTGGTTTGGCTAGTATATTCTTCACCATTAGGACCTAGTTACTTGGTTTTCCAATCTCAGACCCCAGTTCGAATTCAGTCTTTCTGTAGTACTGTTATAGATTACTACTACCTCCAAACTTGAGACTTGCCAAACAATCTTCCCCTAGTTCTTGGATTCAGATATCTAACCAGATATCTGGATAGATATTCTGTTTTGATTATCTTAATCCAGATTTGTAAATAGATATTATTAAAATATTCAGTTTTTAATTTAGATTCTATCTGGTTATAACATATCATCATGGATTTATAAATTACAGTAACAAGTAAGCTAAAATTCAGTTACCCAATTCTCATTGAAATATAATCAAGATATCATACCCTGAATTAGAATCTACATGATTCAAAAGCAGGTTATCCAGGTTCTAGAATTTTCAAGTAGGATTAATTATATATTCTTAAGCTAGATAATCTACTTAAAAAATCCAAAATCAGATAACTCTTTCTAAATTATGACAACTAAAATTTTGGATTTCAATTCTGAGATAAAGCATATACTTAAACTACAGAATGTGAACTTCAAATAATTTGGTCATATATATATTTTAAATAAAAGTGCAATAGAAACTATGACAAGAAGCATAACAGTTTTACCGTGACTATAACATCAATTCGTTCAATTATTATATACAAAATAATATATGAAATTATTTAAAAAAGAAACAAAGATTGTAATCAAAGTCATATTGAAGTTCTCTGATTGGCTGATATCGATTAACATATAATATCCAGATAAAAAATCAGATTTATAAATCTAAAATAAAAATCTGGATTTATTATTCGCTTATCAAAAATAATATCTGTTATCCTTTTTATATCTAGATGCATTCAGATTTTGTAATCTGGATCCAAGCACTACCTTCCTCAGCATAACTATCAAAAAAAGCACAGCCATATAACTTTGTGTGGCTTATGTGTAATCTAAGATTCATGATAAGTTAGAGTTATCGTAATAAATAATATATACAACTTTGTATAATATTGTTGCATTAATTACCGTATTTATTTGCTATGAGTACCTGGGGTATTTCTCTTGTTCGTTTTAGTACCTGGAATACACATGTAGAAAGATATATTGTATGGATATGAATATGTTTTATTATATTTCCCCAGGTACAGAAGCATGATAATATCATATTTAGATACCCGGATATAAGTCAAAAATTAGCTGTCAAAATCGTTACAGAGTATATTGCACAGGAGGTCTACATGTCAGATAAATATGGTATGTAATAATAAAGAATATTATCACATTAATTATGTAGTAATAAAGAATGTTGTCGCATTAATTATGTAGTAATAAAGAATATGACCATATTAATTATGTAGTAATAAAGAATATCGTCACATTAATAAAGAATATCATTGCATTAATTATATAGTAATAAAGTATAATTAGTTTTCATAGGCATGAAATATATTTTTTTTTCCTTATTATTTTTTACTTTTTTAAATATGGAATCTACAATAACTCGTTATTGTGGTGGATATAAAATCTTCAAACCTATAACAAAATTCAAAAGTAACCATGTCAATATTTTATAATTTCAAACTTGTAGCAATTGTTGCCAAAGACAAGCTAGTAAATGAAAAAAACTTGCAGAAATAAATAAAAGTCATGAAGACTAGCCAAAAATTATTGATATAGATTACTTGGGTCATATTTTTTCAGAGTTATTAGAAGATATACAAGAAAATGGTCTAGAATTTCATTTCTGTTATGAAATAATTATCGATGATCATAGCTTAACTAAAGAGATTGCAAATAATGTTGTTGAATTAATCAAAGATATTAATAAGTACAATTGGATATACAATCACTATTATACAGGTAAAAATTTAATTACATACTGGTATATCTGCTTTCAACAAGATGTTTTAACCAAAAGGCTACAAAAACATGTTGATCTATCAAAATAGAGAGATACTCAATCTATACAAAGATTTGATTGTAGTGGTTTTATAAAAAGTTTAATAAATAAAACCACACAAATAGCTGAAGTAACTTTTTATTATAAAGAATTGCATAATAAGCCTGTTAATATATCTATACAACGGGGGGTGTGGCAGCTTAGTGAAGTGGTCAAGTTGTCACCCTCTTCAAGTAGCAGGTCTAGGGTTCAAATCCCACGGACGACGAAAGTTTGAAAAATAGGCTTGCGTTACGGTAACGGATCT